TTTTCACTCTACCTTTGTGTCTGTTTCTTTAACATCTTTGAAATACTCTTCTGTTCCCCCCCTCCCTCCCCCTCTCGACTTTTTTCACTTTGACGTTCCTTCTCTTAATGATAACTATCCAAACGAGCCTGAAGTCAACTAAAGGGCTAATAATAACTATCAAAATGCCTGCCATTTGATATAAATAAATAAATAAGTAAATATTGCGGATCAAGTGTGTACACGCAGGGAGCTACTCATGATCAGGATGGGGGATTAGGTTAAACAGTGGTTGATGATTGGTCACTGTTTGTACGGTCGCTGCACACAGAGTAGTACGGCCGCACCTCCCAATCCTGGCGAGCAGACATGCGGAGCCGCACCTCCCAATCCTGGCGAGCAGACATGCAGGCATAAGACCTCCCAATCCTGGCGAGCAGACATGCAGACATACGATGGTGCACACAGCGATAACGTGTCCCACATAATCCTGGCGAGCAGACATGCGGGCATACGATGACGCACAGAGCAATAGCGTGTCCCACAAGTTCAGATTCACTGAAAATTTATGACTTTTGTCAGCCCATAATTTTGTCGTATTCACGAAATTATCTAAAATTTTATGAAATATCCACATTGCCAATCTCTTTTAATTCAATATATTTGAAGTTGGTCAGGAACCTTGGAGAAGAGATGAGAAATTCATTGTTCGCTAAATGAATGCGATTTTAAGTATGGTTTAGCGGACTTCATTAAGTACCTACCTTTTAGAACGAGCTTTCATTAGTAACTGGAAAACAAGATAAACTTATTAATCTGTTCAGTGAAGAATGCACTTGAAGAAACTTCAACTCGGATACTTCACTTATGGATGAAAGAAGCGGTTTTACAAGCAAAATATAAATAAAGCACGTGCTCGTTTAACGCAGTACTTAAATTGATTTGGAAATAACAGTCAGCACTTTTACTCTCGTAGTCCAACGAATGTGAGATTTGGGGGTAGTAACACGCCAGCGAGTACACAACCTCAAGAAGAGATAAATAGTTTGACGAGAGGATATCCCGCACCAATGAAATATCGCTTCTGAATTACTGGGGAAATTTTTGTCATTGATTTTCAATATTCACTGGTGGGTCTGTTTATTATGATTATTGGTCTTTCCACATAAATTTAACTTTTCTATTTCAATGATTTAAAGAAAATAGAATTTTCTTACGCCATATTAAACAATACCGAGCTGAGCTTTTTAGTTTATCTCTCATTACCCACAGTGTGAGTGAACTGACCTAAATCAACTTGTCGGTAATATACTATTTTATAAAAAATATTGAATTCTTTTTTCTTCCATCATTTTGGCCTGCTTTATTTTATTCGAACAATCAAGAAATATTTCATTTTCCGTCTCTCTATGTACTAAATTCTGTCCGAATGTTTTCCAAATTACTTCTGAAGAACTGTAACAAATGATAAATATTCTTATAAATATTATGTGAACCAATATTTAATACTGATTTAACGTGATGTGCAAGCGAAATAGACGTTCTATTTTACAGTTATGAGAGCAACTGATTCAGAATACATTTAGTTATTTGAATAAGCGATATAAAACTCGCAATTTACAAGTCAAAGTTTCCAAAATGTCTTACGGCTCCACGATGGTATAGTTGAAGTTACATTCATTGCTAGCTCCAATTTTAGGAAACTCAATTTTGTTCCAATTACCTTTTTTTACAGCGGATTGCTTCACTAGTAAGCCTTGACCTAAGCTCAATAATCTCTAGGGCAGGATTTCCAATTTTGAAGGGGCTCCCGAAGTTAGTTAAGCTACCTCAAAGATATAGAGGAACAGACGTGTGGCGAAAAAGACATTTATTTGGTTATATGTCACTGACAAGGAGCTTAGTCATTAAATAAAATTTCGCCAACGTTGACCATGTCGTGACTATTGATTGATGATTGGCTGAGAGATATCTGTAATCATGACCTCAATTGTACCCTAGTACGATTAGCATCACATCAGCACGTTCCGAAATATTCTAGAGTGCTAGGGATCGTTTGATCCAGTGCTGTCTGCATTGTGCTCCCTACATGAATCTCATTTTCTAGTAGGAGGAAGAACTCATAGTAGTCACTAATAATTCGAATGGATCATCTTTCAACATACACGTTGTCGCTCCCTTCTCTTTTCCGTTATAATTCTTTTTCCCCATATTTCTTGAGCCAATCACCATTCACTATGCCTTTACACATATTTCACATTTAACCTTGTTTCTACAATTATGGATACAGATATAAGAGAAATCGCCCTCGTCAGGGCGAATCACAACTTCTACAAATCCCTCAATGGGATGCTGGAGGGATGTCACTGGACAAAAATATCCAAGTCCAGAAAATCCTACATGCCTATGATATAGACATATTCACAATCATGGAAGCAAACCTTACGGATGACAAACTGGAATACTACCAATTCCCACGTTACACCTTATACCTTCTACCTAAATACCGGCAAGTTGCAAGTGGAATTCTGACTGGAGTAAAAGATGGCCTCATCTCACACTACGATCTAATCAAGAGTATGGGCTCGAAGCAGGACATATGCGAAATAATCAGATTATATGTTTGGAAATGTCAAAACCACTTCAAGATATATGCAATCTATAATCCACCCCAGAATAGTCCCAACTTTGAATTTCTGAACATCTCACACAAAACTGTAGTATTAGAAGACTTCAACGCCCATTCCACCAGATTGGGCTATAAGAATAAAAACATAGCTGGAAAGGAAATCGAAGACATGCTAAACAGCAACCCTTTGGAACTTATTTACAGAAATGAGGATCCTGCTACATATCTACACTACAGTGGAATCAGAACAACTCTGACTTACACCTGGCTTCAAGCGACATCAGCGAGCATACTTTTCCTCTTGGCTTCAAGCGACATCAGTGAGCATACTCGCGACTTGCTCCTGGCTTCAAGCGACATCAGTGAGCATACACGCCGTATTTCCTCTTGGCTTCAAGCGACATCAGCGAGCATACACGCCGCACATTAACGATCCTGGTTCTGGTCACAAACCAGTCATTGCTAGCAGCAAAAGCATGACATACCAGTCATTGCTAGTATTACCATCGGCAGCAAAAGCATCACAACGAAAGTGCCAGCTAAGCTATCATGGAACTTCAAGAAGGCTGAATTCCTAGATTCACAAACCTTTTGGAGAATGAACTTCACACAATTCCCCTCAACTTCAACCAACATCCTGACAAACTTTGCAGCGAAATCACGAATATTATGATTAGATGTGTAAAGTAAACTATTCCCCGTGAAAAAACTTAACACTGTCGAGTGCTTTGGTCTGAACACCTAGAGAAACTGAAAGGATAGCTGGACGCACTTCGCAACACTGCTGACCAGACTGGAAGAATG